GGCAGGAGCCTAGCTGGAGTGCCCCAGCACCTGGAGCTCAGCATTTCGGAGCCGTGGTTAGGCGGGTGTTAGCTGGAGCTCTCGGATGGGCTGAGGTCAGCCCCCTTGGCTGCTCCAAAGCCTTCCTCCCACGCAGGCTCCCGAGAGGTGCTAGCTGCGCAGACGGTCTGTCCGGTCTCGCTCGCAGCGCTGTCCCAGGAGTGAGGTGCAGCTGTGAGCAGCCTCTCCCTGCACCCGGCACCCTTGGCAGTCCAGGGTCTGAGTTCAGGATGCTGGGGTGCGGTGACTTGGGGTGATTTCGCACACACACACACACCCCGTTCTCTTTTCTGCATTGACAAGTGCATTTCTGTGCTGTCTCGTTCCCCATGGCTTGTGGGAAGCTTCCCCCAACCCCCCTCCACCCCCCGGGTTGCTGCAGCACGTTGGGAAGGTCCATCAGTCCCCTGTGGCAGCACCCAGGAGAAGGGGGAGCAGAGGCCGATGCCGACCTGGCTCCTGGTGAGCAGCACAGCCTCAAAGCCCGTGTCCTCAGCTGTGGCAGGGATGTGAAGGGGTGTCAGTGAGGAAATGAGCCACCGATCCAGGGCTGGAGCTGATGGGAGTTCTGCTTGTGTCTTCTCCAGGCTGCAAGGAATAGAAAAGACTATTTTCTTGCAGCCTGAGACTTCCCAGCCACCGCAGGGCTTCAGGGATGGTGCCATGCAGCTGCAGCAATAGCTGTCCTGGTAAAACCAGGCAGAGGATTGTGTCTAAAACCAAGCAGCTCATCCAGCAGCAGCCTGTAGCAGCCGTGCAGTGACGTGTCCAGTTTGTGGCACACAACCTGTCCTTTGCTCACTGGGAAAGTAAAGCAGAATGCTGGGAAAGAAGGATGCATGGCATCCCAGTTCCCATGTGCCAGTGTGACAGCTCCCAATAACCCTGAGAGGCACCGTCCCCTGTCACCCCACAGTACTGGTGACAGCTTTCCCACAGCAAAGAGCTCCTGGGACGGGGGCAGACACGCTGTCGGGAGTTAACATCACCCTGCAGCCCCTTCCTTGCTGCCTGGCAGTGATGGGGGACGTGCTGGAGTCGGACGAGGCAGGGGGGCGGGGGGCAGTCAGGCATCCTTGGTAGCTGGAGGGCTCTGAACGTTTCCAAAGCGACCGTCTGCTGGGACCGCATCCCTCGGTGCCTGCGTTCCTCATACTTTCTCTGAGACCACAGTGGAGCTGCAAAGCACTTCCTTTTACCAGGATATTTATTACTAAATATATGAATCTGGGAGCCTGTGGAGCGTGAAATTAGGAACAAATGTAAAAAGGAGGTCTAGACAGGAATTGTTCTGCTTATGGGCCTCCACATGCTCTGCTTTCCTCCCCCTTTGCACGCTGGAGAGTTTAATGCTTCCAGGTACGCAGCTTTAATCAGACAAGTATGTTATGGGAGAAAAAAAAGAACGAAATGCAAATGGTCCCGCTCTGTGTGGAGTGGTGACTGCGATGCCACGTCTGGCTGACTGCAGCTGGACAGAAACCATCAGCGTTGGCTCTGTGCAACCCTCGCTGTCCCCTCGGGATAGGCAGCCGTTTAATTAGCCAGCGAGGAAAACAAGAAGCCCTCTCTGCCACCTTTCATCTTGGGCTGGCAAGGAGCTTGCTAAGATGCTGATCCCTTTGGATGGGTGCAGCACCCATCCCTGAGAGGCTGCAGGGCTGAATCCGGCCATCCCAGAGCCAGAGACTGCGCCTGCCCTCAGGCCCCTGTGCTGGGCTCCATGGCATCAGGGTGATTGCAAATGGAAGCAGCAGAAGACAGACAGATGGGCATTTCCAGCCAGCTCTGCCTGCCCAGCACACGTGCCCGTGGTACCCAGTGCAGCCCGAGGGCTGCAGCTGAGTGCCATCATCCCTTTGCAAGCCGTTTCCCTGACTGTATTCCCTCCCCACAAGCCTCCTCCGAGCATTTTGCCCAAGGAATAGGGGCAGGATTTGGCCCGGCGCTTGCCCCGTGGCCGGGCGGTGCGAGAAGGCGTTCAGACGTCGTTATAAATTACCTTCCCTCCTACAGCGCTGCTCAGCAGCAACATAAAATGTGATACTGCTTTATCCATTCAGCGCTTACCCAACTTTAGCAGGACATTAAGCACCTGAAAATATGCCACAGATTTATTTTCTTTGGAAGCAGGTTAAATCCCTGACAGATACAGTTGCTTTTCCTCGGGTGCTGAAGTAATTTGGGGCTGGGGTGGCTGGTTTTTTTCTTGTTTTAACCTGATAGTGTGATCTGGAGGCCAGCTTTGTTAAAGCGCTTGTAGAGTAGGTGCTCAGGGTACAATTTCTCCCTTAATTTATGTCGCTTCTCCTGTTCCCAGCCCAACGCTTGCGGCACTAACGGGCTGCTGGAGTTTTAGCTGCGGAGCGATGCTGGTGTCGGTGCTGGTGTCTGCGTAGCTGTTAGCAGGTGTGTGCAGGCAGGTACGCGTCTCCCCAGCATCCTTCCTGTGGCAAAGAGCTTGGTTGTCTTCTGCGTGGGACGAAGAGAAATTCAAGCCCTCCCACGAGCTCTCAGGGCTGGGATGCTCAGAGCGAGACGCGGGCTGGCGTTGCAGGGCTCATGTGCTGTGCGTGACGCACAGCGTCTCCCTGAAGGCAGATGCCAGGGGTTTGAGAGGCAGGGACCTCCCACTGCTACCAGTTCTGTGTCACCACCCAGATTCTTCTAAAGGGTGCTCCAGGGAGAGAGGGGTGCTGTTGGTACCCCAGAATGCAAGCCTGGGGCCAAGCTGAGCCACGGCATCTTCCCAATGCCCAGCAGGCTTGGTCCCAGCTGCGGCGTATGCTGCGGTGGGAATGATCAGCTCACCCGAGGCTGTTAAAAGCACCATCCCGGGGTGCCCCCACAGCCCCCCCCCAGCGCTGTGGCTTGGCCGTGGTGAAGGCGAGGAGCTGGGTGCCTCCTGCGTTGGGCAGACACATCCCGTACCCCAGCTCGCTGCTCGGGGAGGGGAGCGCGCCTGTCCCTGCCGTCATTAAAGGCTCACTTAGCAGCTCCAGTTATTCCAAATTAAAATACCACATTGTTTTTTCATGGGGAAAAAGGATTATAGGCTCAGAGAAAAATGCATACAGCTCAGAAATCCTTACTGCAAAGCTCCTTCTCCCATCACTGGAGGAGCTGGGAGCCATGAGGGTGCCCTGAGTGCTGCGGGTACTGGGCAGAAGGGTTTATTGCCCTTGGGTAGCCCCCCCCAAGTGCAGAACAGCCCATTGTGACCCCAGAACTGCTGCTTACTAAATCTCTTACTCACTGCACGAAGCTTGCTTTATCCCCCTGCACCTGCAAGGTGGCATTTAGGGCAGGACAGGAACTCCCTGAGGGCTTTCACAGGCACCCAGTGCCAGGTTCTGGCCTGCTCCTGCCCATCACTTCCCACAGACCCCTCCTGGCTTCTACCGCCCCTGCAAACAGGGGTGAGCTGAGGGTTTGAGGACCTGCTGCCTGGTGCATTGTCCAGCACCAGACGCATCCCAGCCCTGTCGCAGCCTATCACCCCGCGCGCTCGTTTTTGCAGGCTGTTAATGGAGAAGAGGGCGGATGACAGCCGGGACCGTGGTCATCACAGGTGGAATATTAGCGACTGTCATTTTGCTTTGTATCATCGCCGTCCTCTGCTACTGTAGGCTCCAGGTAAGGCTGGGGGGGGGCACGTCCCCAAAGGGTGCTGTGATGGGGAGGGGATCTCATGGGCAGCAGGTCCCCAGGGCTGGCATGCACGGAGCAGCCCCGCAGTGACCGGGTGGGCAGTTTGGGATGTCGGCTGAACCCCGGCTCCGTGGGGGCCATCCCGTTTCAGTACTACTGCTGCAAGAAGGATGAATCCGAGGAGGATGAGGAGGAGCCCGACTTCGCCGTGCATTCCCACATCCCGCCGCTCCACTGCAACCGCAACGTAGTGCTGACCAACGGCCCGTCCCTCTACGCGTCGTCACCCTTCGGCAAGAAGCCGGCACCCAGCCGACCCGGCTGCCCCAGCTGCGCGCCGTACGAGCCCCCGACCTTCTTCCTCCAGGAGCCCCCCGAGGAGCTGCACAACGGGGGGGACAGGGTGAGCTACAAGACGGTCAGCCAGGAAGATCTCGACCTGCCGGTGAGTGTGGCCAACCTGCAGGCGCTCAACCCCAACCGGCTCCCGGCCATGCCGG